CGGGCCACCCTCCTCAACCCTTTCCCGGTTCACCGCCACCGCCACCGCCAAGGCCCCTGCCGCTTCAGGGAACTCGGGACACGCCTCTGCTCCTCGATTCTTCCGCTCGCCGTTTCGATTTTTTCGCACGCTCACTCTCTTTCACCTTACGCGGGCAAACACTTTTCTTCTTCTTCTTCGTCTTCTTCTTCTGCTTCTTCTTTATATCTTGCGTTGCCCTATACGCCGGGACACGCACGTGCACTGACACAACTCGTCGAGGTTGCTTTATCTCTTTTCCTTCTTTCTCGTTTTACCGTGTTATGGACCAGAACATTCGTTTGAATTTCAACACCGTTTCTCTATTCGGATTACACGGACGACAGGTTTTTCGTCGAATCACTGTTAACAGGCGATCGACAGGTTGCACCGTATAACCGGAAGTAAGGTGTTCGTTTACTTAGAAGTCAATAAGGTCTCGGTATTGCTCTCGGTTCCATGGCGCTATTTTCGACGAGCGCAGTTGTTGTAGCCTCAGACGATTAAAACAGACTGCGTGTACGTGCGAAGGTCGACCGTAATGAACTATCAACGAATTTCGTGGCAAACGATCGGTTGCACTCGAGTCTGCACGGGGAACTTCGCTTTCGAACGTCGCGCGCTCGTCGAGCACGGCGGGAAGGGTAGAAGCTTGCGGGACTTTGAGGGGTGAAGGGGCTCCGTAACACCACGCTCGTTGAAGCGGCTATGGTCGCGTCCTTTTATCGCGACTACGACAAAAACGATAACACGCAAAGGAGACCTTCGGAAAGGAAACGTCGAGTCGATGTCCTCGTATGTATGTTTTCTTGGAAGTGTCGGTGATTAAACGGGGCGTTTCGTGTTTCGGACGTTTCTATTGAGAAGCGTCGAGAAAGAAATGAACAGCAGAAACGTTCGTGGCTCTCCCCGAATTCGTTTGGCGTTCGATATTCTACGAAACGAGAGGAGGAGCCCTTGACTCGTGAATGTCACGAACGCAGGTGCGTTGAAACCGAACACACCACGTTTCTTTCTTTTCTTTACTCCTCGTTCGGCGTACTCTCGCTACATCCACGGTAGACGATGTTAGGTTATGTTTGACACACGCACGCAAGCCGTTCTCCCTCTTCGCCGTCAGTTACGCTCAGCTGGCCTCATAACGTTGCAAACAGTGGGACGGAGGTGGAAAGGGGGCGGTGCTTGCCCGTAAGAAACACGGTATCGCAAAACAGAGAAAGGAATGAGAAGAAACACTGAAAGGCTCGGTCGAGTCCTCGATGGCCACAGCGACTCCGGCTACGGTGGGCCGAATTATTCGTCGTTTCGCATACAACCGATCAAGATTCCTCACTGTCCGGGTGCTACGGCCGAGCCAGAAACACTGCCACTTCTCGTACAGATCAAGCACGCACACACAAACACCGAAAACACGCGCGCGCGCACACACAAGCGAGAGAGGGAGAGAAAGAGAAAAAGGAGTCTCTCGCGTAGCCGCGATAGAGGGATCGTCGCGGTCCGAACGAAACGCACGTCTTCTCGCAGCCAAGGCTTGCTGGCCACTAGTCGAAGGGGAAGGTGAACTACACTGTCGACAGCGCCAGCTGCTCACAAAGGGGGGTCACGTGACCTGCGTATTGACAACGCGCAGCTCCGACCAGCGATCTTTGCGTCCTCTTTGCAAATACGACTGGGAACCACAAATTGGACTGTTCTTTCGCATTCTATGCTCTTTGATTAATTAATTCTTTATTCGTTTTGCTTTTTCATTCGGTTAATACACGATGCACGAACGTTTATTCCATTGGTGTGAAATTGTTTCGAATTTTAAAACAGCGGGATGCTACGTAACAGAACAACTTGAAAAATTCGTAAATTGCGTTCTTGATATTTCTCAGATTCAAATGGATCCAGCTATTTTATTTCATCTTTTTACTGGGATTTCGGATAGAGTTCTTAAGGAATGACGAAGTAGGGTGTTGAAAAAAAGCAATTGTATAATTGAGTGTGTATATTTACATGATCTCTGTGAGTCGTTATCGAATGTATTAAATTAACAAATCCACCGTTCTTCTCTCAATTGCGTCGCAACATGTACACACTTTTATAAAAAATGTTACAATAGCGAGTAACTCGAGCAAGCCATGTACAAAGCGCGCTTTCCGTTGTTTCAATACGATTGTAAGAAAAACTCGATTATTCATTTTGCTCGACGTTTCTTTATAAATATTTGTATTGCGTGTTAAGTTACGTCTGTTCGACTTTGAATGACGTTTGAGATAGAGAAAGGGATCCATTAACAGGCATCCATTAATAGGCATCGAAAGAAAGCTCGTCGGTCTTATCTTACAACCGTAACAGTTTTATTTGACATTTTACTCCACATATTCATGTTTTTATCGATATCCACATTTATCATATACATATATCACTCGAATGATAAATATACCCATAAAGGAGAGTATTATCTGTCACTTTGTTCTCAATTGTACATGTATTTGCGAGGCATGTATTCACAATGAACGTCACCAGAGAATAGCAAATTGAATACTAAATCTGATGGAAAGTAACAAAGGCCAAAAATTATCAATATAGATCTTCTCTTCTGTCTCTGTAGGTAATTAAAATAATTTCTTCGCTAGTATTCGTATTGTGCACGTTTAGTAAACTAGTTGGTACACGCGGTTAACCTAATTCATCCTTAAACATATACGTCCTAGTCTCTTCTAAAAAGAAAATCACGCCCCCGTTATTATTCCTCTATTAGCGTAGGTACAATCTGTGAATACAGGCCTGAAAAATCTTACAATACGATCGTATAGGAAAATATGAAAAGATTACATCTCGAATCATTTTTTTTTTTCTTTTTCTTCACACTATATAGGCTTCTATCTTTGGTCTGACCGAATTTTTCCATCGACAATATATTGCGAGTCGTTTTGCCGAAGTGCGCGTGAACCGCGAGAAAAATAAATTTTCGCTCTAATATCGTATTCTTCGCTTATATCGC